TCTAATTTTTCTTCAAGATTATTAACTTTATCAAATAACTGGAGTAATAACTGAATTAAAAAGTTAGTTTGTCTAATATGTATATTAGTTGATTGTACGTCTGTTTTAAAGCTTGTAAATCCTATGGGTTCTTTATCAATTTTGTAAAGTTCAGCTAACGCGGTTAAATAATCAGGACTACTGGTGCTCATAAAACTATTGTAATAATTTTTGGATATCGGTTTTAAGGGATTTTAAAGAGTCTATGATTATTTTCTGGTTTTCAGCAATATTCTTAATATCACTATTAATATCTTTAATTGCGACTAATATTATCTTGTTATCTGAATTATTTGGACTAGAATTCTGTACTACTGGTTCTTTAATATAATCTAAATTTTCTCCTAATAGTTGTATAGAAGTATCTAAATTATTAAAGTTAAGTCTATTCATAAACTAAAATCGTTGTCGTCTAGCTTCTAAAATATTTTGTATTAATAAAATTCTAGATCTAAATTCTTCAATTATTCTTTGTAGACTACGTGTTGTGTCTCATAAATCTAGCGCTATGTAGCAGTTCCTAAGTGCTGCTTGACAAAATTCTAATACTTGAATAAGTTATTCCTTGGGTAAATTGTGCATAAATTAAACTTCTAGGGGTGAAAATATAAATTCAGCTTAATAAAAGGCTAAAATGGAACTTGGTTCATGTATTTGTAAATATGCAAACTATGTTTGGCTCTGAGTTATACCTACACTAAGACCACTTTACTCTAAAAGTCCTTATTCATAACCCAATTTTGTGTGTGTGTGTATATATATATATATTATGCCTATTGCATGATATATATTACTTTATATTGAATTAGTAAGGGTAGTTTTGGTATATAAAATTATTTTCTTATCACTCACATGCTATCCAGACTAGTGAAACAATATTTTCTCATAATTTTTTTTAAAAAATTTAATGCTAACAAAATGCGGAAAAATATCCTCTCGGGTTACTCTCTTAGTGGATGACGTCCGGTGAACATCTAACGGTGGTGATTAATGCCACCTCATCAACATATCCTTGTCATCACCAAGCCAGCACCAAGTTAGCAAGTCAAAAAAAAAATAAAATAAAATAAAAAAATACTTTTATTTTACCATAAATACAAATACCATTCTATACATTATACTTTATACAATATATTATAGAGAGTATATTATTATACAAATTAATTTATCTTTTGACTAAAATTAAAATAAAAATAAAAATAAAATGCAAAATAACCTCACTTTAAAACAATTCAACAAAAATTAAAATATGTATACAGAACATGCTACTAAAACAAAATTATAAGGAAGAACAAATTATTAATTATGAGTTATTAGGGTTGGTCAAATAACTAGATTCTCAAAACTTCGTAAACTAAATTCTCAAAACTTCGTAGGATTTAGTCGAATTAAACAACTTTAATTCTTAAATTCTAAAGAGAATGATTGAACAAAATATATATATATATATATATATATATATATATATATATATATATTTTCCACATCTCTCCTTATATATACAAAGGTATGTGTCAAGAAAATCAAGGCAATAATGTTACCAAAGTTATCTCTCTCTCTATATATATATATATATGCATCGTATTCTTGCAATTTTTCTTTTATTTTGGGTCGTTTTCTTGGATTTTATTCTTTCGTTTTTTCTTTTGAAATATTCAAATTTCAATCAAAAGTTGTATGCATATGTTAAAAATTTAATAAATATGAATTTAATTTAACCATCAAATCAGTTTTTTTATCCCTTACTGAATCAATCCAGTAAGACCGGAGAGGATTTGTTTCCACAAAATGCATAATTGAAACTAGTTTTCTTTCTCTTCACTTTATTTTCTTTTTCTTTAAAATTTAGGGCGGTCAAACACATACCGCCGGTTAAACCATTTTGACCTTTACACGTGTCGTTGCTTTTTCTCTCTCTGTAGACACAACACTTTTTCTCTCTCCTCTCCCACCCCCTCACGATCTCTCTCTTACACTTCCGTCTCTCTCATCGGCTTCGCGATTTTTTTCTCACGATCTCGATTTCGATCCTCACTCGAGCTAGCATATCTTCTAACTAATGTTTGCTAAATTAAAATTAAAAGAGTCATATTATTATTATTACTATTATTTTCAATAATTAGTGATATTATTCTCCACTCCACTTGCAAAATACTAGTTCAACACTACTATTACTACTAAAATTTTGGTCTTTAGCGTGTTGAACAAAGGGAATGGTACAAACACGTTGCTTAACAAAGACAAAAATGTTGATGTGGAAATGTGGGTCTTTATGTTGAAAATTATGCAATTAATTTCCTTGGACACAAATTCTACTTGTCCATTTAAGTCTTTGATGCAGATTTCTTTCCATGTACAATGTGGTTTCAATTTTAATTATTTGGATGCAGGTGAGGTTTGAACATGAGAATAGAGCCCCTCCTGAGTTGGCCCACACTCTATAATATATATGGTGCTTTTTTTAATTTTTTTTAAAATTTGTACTATGTAATTAAATTTTATTTTTAAAATAAATTGTACGGAGTAATATAATTTTGCATATAGTATATATTCATAATATATATGCCCTCAACAATAAAAATGAAAAAAAAAAATACAACCTTAATAAACAGGGAAAAAAAAAAAATTGATATGAGAAAGAAACAGGATTAAGTGCAAAAAGCACAGTTAATACAGTGCAAAATAGTCATGTGCAGTAAAAAAAATCTTTATACTATCAATTTGGTGCAAATATTTCACTGTTGATTTGGTGCAAATATCTCCTTCAAATTTAAAATGATTATAATGTCCTTATATCATAAATTAATATATAAAAAATATAAATTATGTAAAATGATCGTTTTGTCCAATGCTCTCTCGGCATCTTGCTGGCATAATTTGTTCTCATCAAATTAAGATCAACAGTTCCAAGAACAAATGGAACTTTGCAACTTAATTGCGAAAATAATTTAAATAAATAAATTAATTAAATTTTAGGTTCAATATGATTACTATCTGTTCTAGTTATGTCCATTAATAAAAGTATAAGGAGATATATTATTTCAAAAAAACCCTAAATATAATTCAGAAAATTTTCCAAAAAAATACATGTAATTAGAAAAGTAGATCTGGAAAACCAAGAAAGGGTCAATTTTTGGGAAAAATTTAAAACATCAACTTCGATGGCAGAGTTATCGATTCGATCAACCCAAAAAATTAAAGACTTCAAAAAACTCATTTGGAAAGACAAAGTAGGTAGCTATAGCCATCAACCAACAGACAAATTTTTGTTAATTTGAAAACTATTCTTCAGAAAACAGCAAGGTTATTTAAGGCTCAAGAGAGAGAGAGACCAATTTAAGTACAAGATTTTGTCTTGCAATCCGAAGGAAACAAACATAGAGAACTAGAGAGAGAAATAGTGGGTCTCTAAATTCAGCTCGTTGGAACTGTTGGATCTTCGATGAAGGGTCACCAACTAGGTAAAGCAATGAAGCTTACATGAACAGGATGATTGAACTGGTTTCGTTGAGGTGGGTCGAAGGTCACTACCACCTGTGGAACAAGCTGTACTCGGGTTCGCCGGATTTAATGGATGGACTGCATAACTTTGGAAAGAATAATAACTTATTTTATGTGAGAGGCAAAATGAGAAGGAAAAAGGGCAAAATTAAATTTTTGTATTTATTTTTTTTTTATTAAAAAGTGGTCAGAGTGACTTATTTGTACTTTTTTTTTTGAATATTATAAATTGAAATACAACTTTTCAAAAATAAGGAACTGATTGTGCACATAACCTGTATTAAGGGAGGTTTTTTGCACTTAACCCAGAGAGAGATATATAGAGGGGCAAGGTATAATTTTAAGTAAAAAAAATGAAGAGATAAAGAGAGTGCATTGTTAAAGAATCAAATTTTCTTCGGCAATTGTTTAATTATTCAAAAAATCATTTTGGATTTTACTTTTGAAAAAATATATTATTATTATTTTCATGAAAAAACTAGGAAAAATAATAATTTTAACTAAATAAAATTACATAAGTTCTATAACTTATGGTAACATATACAAAAAATTAATTGCCATACAATTTTCATTTAGCAAGTGACAATTAGAATATTAATATATGTGATATCATTGTTGCTGTTTGCGTTTTGCCATTTAGGTTTCACAACATTTTAGTTTCTCCTCCTTTTTAATTAATCCAAAACTTGTAAATGGTGATTAGTATATAATTTTAGATATTTTAATTGTAAAAACCGTAAAACGAAAATGTGTGACAAAAAAAAATAAAAAATAAAATAAAAACAAGTGAATGCATTTTTATCACAAATGATGGGACATCAATGTATTTTTCTCTTTTAAATTAATATACATGTGTATATGTAAATGAAATAATGATGAGTGTACTACAATCATAATAACAAAAATTTATGTTTTACAAAAGTTTTTATTTTTTGGAATGTATAATGTTTCACAATATTTAAGTTTTCAAAAGTATGACTAAAAAGGTCAAAGTAAAAATTTTATATCAATTTCAAAAGGATGCCAGCTAAAAATTTTGAGGCTAATATAAAAGTGTTTTGAAAAATGTTGGGGGAGCCAAGTGAAATTGTCAATAAATTTAGGACTCCAATTTAAAATTTATTTGTAAATTAACTATTTTTGGGGTATAATAAAGATTTTAAAAACTTTTGGGGGGCCATGGCCATCCCTAGCCCCCCTGGGCTCCGCCCTGCGAACATCGGTACCATCTCACATTACTTGGCGCTCTATCAAGCCCGTAAAAACTTCATTTGGAGAAGGGAAGGGGACAGATTCATTTTGTACAGAGCCCTTTCCTCTGAGCTCAGTTAAGAGAAAGAAACATACAGCCCTCGTTAGAGACTAATGCACTCACATATCTTAATTGACTAGGATGTTTTATATTATAAGTTCATTTATTTATTCTCCATCATTGAAAAACAAAAACAACACAACATAACTGATTCAAATATTGACTTCATTTTCTTCCTTTAATTTTCTTGACAACCAAACATCGCATTAGAAAAATGTCTCAATTGCTTATATAAATGACCACTTGCGCCTCTATCTTGCCTCCAACACAGACATAGAAACCCGATTTACTGAACAATCTTCTGACTTGTTCTCTGCAGGTAAATTTTGTGCATTTCGGGTTCTTCTTCCAGTATAAAATGCTGGTTGTTTTGGATCAGGTAAACACATAGTTTCATTTGTAAGCATAGCAATAAGATCTGACATGGTGGGTCTGTCCACGGCACATTCCTGTACACATATTAGACCAACATGAATACATCTTAGCATTTGAGTTTCAGGACAAGAGAAGTTCAACGACGGATCCATTAGCTCAACACCGATACCTTTCTTCCACAAATCCCATACCTGCAATAATGTTCAATTTTAATGTAATACATGACTTAAATCAATATATATATATATATATAAATGGGAAACTCATGCAGCCAAATTGAAATGTTAGATGAGAATCAGGTTTATTGTGATACTTTACGTGTTCTATAAGGCTTAAAGGGCCAGCCAAACGAGAAAAACTGGTATTCTTTTTGCCGCTCACAATCTCTAATAGTAGGACTCCAAAACTGTAGACATCAGACTTCACCGAGAAAATACCGTTCATGGCATATTCAGGAGACATATAACCACTGCATAGAGTAATGTGCATATTTAGAAAGCATATATTGTATAATACTATCAGAATCAAATACTTGTACTTACTATGTACCGACAACCCTATTTGTATTTGCTTCATTTTCATTTTGTCCAAAAATTCTAGCTAATCCGAAATCTGATATTTTTGGATTCATTTCATCATCAAGTAAAACGTTGCTAGCTTTTAAGTCTCTGTGTATCACTCTCATTCTGGAATACTTGTGAAGATAAAGAAGTCCTTGTGCGATACCCTCAATAATATTGAGGCGTTTTTTCCAGTCCAGTAGTTTACTCTTAGTAGGATCTGTTACAACGTAAAAGTAGAAAAATGCAATTAAGTGTTGGAGCTAATAATCAAATAAAATCAAAAAATAATATTGCAGGGTTACTAACCGAACAGAAAAAAATCCAAACTTTTATTTGGCATATATTCATAGATTAACATTTTTTCTTCTCCTTGGATGCAACAACCCAATAGCTTGACGAGATTCATATGTTGAAGTTCAGCAATTAGAGTGATCTCATTCTTGAACTCCACTATTCCTTGGCCTGAACTTCTGGAAAGTCTTTTTATCGCAATGTGGTGTCCATCTGATAGTACACCCTACACATTTTAATTACTTAATCATGTTATATATAAAACACTTGATTCAACTCAGTTTACGAGTAAAAAAGTTTTACCTTGTAGACTGGTCCAAACCCACCCTGACCAAGCTTGTTGACAGATGAAAAGTTATCTGTGGCAGCTGCTATTTGAAGAAAACTATATAACTGCAAATGCTGAGGTTTCGTCGTACTGAAGTTGAGCTTATCTGCACCATCATGGCATTTTTCCCTGTCCTCTACAAACAATTACATAAACTTGTAATCCCGATTAGTTATTCATATATGCAACTCATTTATGAGCATGGATTGAGAGAGTATATGACCTCACCTGTTTGCTGTTTCTGCTTTAGATTCCTCTTTCTTAGGTAGCATAAGAAACCGAAGAGAGTGGGTATGATTGCAATGAGAGACCCTATCCACCACCACCACCAGTCTTTCATACTTCCCGGTTGGTTTTTCGTAGTGAGCGAAAGACCCAAAATACAAGTCATTGTACCATTACTCTCAGGCCCAAATTCATTCACAATACCAGCAGCATATAGAATTGAGAAGTGAAAGCAATCGGTGGAATGAGATTTGTTACCATCAATTTCGATCAATTTGGACTGAACCTGCAATAGAGCAGTCACGCAGGCTTCACAGGAGGTGAGAACGGTGAGGTCCGTCCGGCAGGCGGTGTCGATCGGCGTGGAGGGTCCGAGCTTGGCGACCCAATCCTGAGTTGACTCGACTGCAGCACAGATGTTCGGTGTAATGACGAACTGAAGAGGGTCAAAGCAGAGGGAGGTGAGATTGGAGGGTAGGGATAGAGAGTCGAGCTTGGATTGGAAGTCAGAGAGGCAAGAAATGGAAGTGGGTAGGTTTGGGAGATGGAAGAGAGAGGTCTGTTTGAGGCGTTGAGAAAGGGCTATTCCGAAGAGGCCGAGTAGGGTATGGCAACAGTCAGTTTTTTTGGAATTAAGGCACGGAGAAGAGGACCATGGAATTCCAAGGACATATCCAAAGTCCATCGGACATGTGGTGGATATGTTGGTAGAGGTCGGAGGAGGAGGAGCTGAGGCGCCTGCTGGGGTGACTAATATAGAGAGAGAAAGTAGAGAGAGAAACACCAAATCAAGCTTCATGTCTCTCTCTCTTATATGTAAATTGTGTGACTTGTCGCATGAATCACAACAATTTGAAACGCAGTTGTTATTCCTTCTTTCTTCTCTCTTATTGTTGGTACTGTGTTGACCGCTATAACTCAATCTCAATATGCCATCACTATCCATTGTAACAACTCCGGAGGAATCAGGAACTGGATTTTCCCGATTGGCCACCCAAACTGGTTTTTCTGGACTTCCCACATACCATATTCCCAAGTAATGATTAGAACAAGATTCAGTATTAATGTAGTAGTGAAGAAACCAAAATTAAAGAATCACCGTTCAGAAGTTAGGTGATCCCGGCCCTGGAGGTGTTGGCCTTGACTCAACGTAACTTTTTGTGGTATCTTCGGAGATATCGCTAACGATATACAAAGGCAATGCACAAGTAGATGGATGAGCCTCTCCGGCATACCCATGATTTTCAAGCAGAAAGTCCATAGACTAGGTTGAAGTTGCTAGTTGCTTTAAATGTGTATAATAATGCTGGTCAGAAGAAAATGTGGCTCCAAATCTATCCACATCGGATCAACTATAATTCCAACGATTGAATGTTTCGATTCATATTCTAATCGACTCAGATTCAAATTTAAAATTAAATTCAAATTGTATATAAAAAAATGTGTAGTTATAAGTAGGGTGGTAATTCGTGTTCGTGTCGATGTAAGAAAATTATGCTAAATAGATAAATCTAAACCTAACACATTTAATAATCGTGTTAGGAATCCTCAACGCTAACCGAACCTATTTATTAAACAAGTAAACATATTAATCCGTTTAATGATCTGTTTATCAAAATGAGACATTTAATATTTAATCAAATACTAAATAATAGAAAAAAAATTATCATAATTAATCCAAATATTCAAAATAAAAAGAAAAATCATAAAATATAAATAAGGTTTATTTGAAATGACTTAACTACCTTTTGTAATTGGATTTAAACAAGTAACATATTATATAGGTCATATTCTCGATTATAACATATTGAGTTAAATGGGTCATAAACGGATTACACGGGTTGAACCCTTCAACCCTAACCCGACATGGTTAAGTAAACGTGTTGATCGTGTCGACCCTTTTATGACACAAACTCGTTTATACCAAACCCAAATCCTTTTAACTTGTGTCGTATTCGTATCGTGTTGTCGTGTTATAATTTGTTACCCCTATTTATAAGTCATTAAGCTTAAATGGAGTGGAGAGTTATTAATATAAAAGATCGTGCATAATATAAATATGCAACCAAATTATTATTATTAATATATATATAAGTTTAGTGGTAAAAAAGTATATAGTATAGTGTAGTGTAATATATTATATATTTATATAATTTTAATCGAATTAAATTACTTATAATTCATATTCGATTTATTAAGCTAACATGTTATCGGATTATTAAATTTTTTATTCAATCTATGTTTGAATAATTGGATTGAATACCGATCATAATTCAATCCATTGGCAGGTTAACGTAGCTCTCTAGTGTTAATAAAATTAAAAATAATAATTTTTGGTGGTTTTTATTGTTAAGGAAAAAAAAGATTTAAAGACAATATTATAAATTGATATAAAATATTATCACAAATTAGTGGCCAAGCGAAATTGTTTGTTTTTTTTAACTAAAAAAAAAAAAAAACACAGCACTATTGTGGGTTTTTTATAAATTTCTTTTTTATTAAAAATAAACTTTTATCAGCAATTCAAAGTAGTGCTACCTATTATGAAATTACATTCGTGTGTTTGTAATAAGCTGGAATTTAACTATAAAATAAGTATATGATGGGCAGATACTTTCTATTAACCGCTTATGAGTTCCAATTAATTTTGTTAAATTAAATTTAAAAATTACAATTAAAAGAGTTATATTATTATTATTATTATTTGTAAATAATTAGTTTGAACACTGCTACTCCGTACTACTCTGTGAGGAGCGAACGACACGGTCGCTTAACAAAGGCGAAAAGGTAGACGTGGAAAAGTCTTTAGCGTGTTGAATAGAGAGTGTTGGGAGTTGGGGGTTGGGAGTTGGGAGTATATTTCTTTACCTTTTTTTAATACGCTTTGTTTGGTTGATTAGCAGCATAATTACGGCTCTTCTTCAGCCTCGTATCTAGTGTTTTTATTTATGTGCACCCCTTCCAAGCAACTGCGTATCCGGGGTATCCAAAAAAAAAAAAAAAAAATTACTATATCTAATATTAACTCAGATAAATTTTTCTTTTTCTTTTTATTTTTAGTATTAACCTACTTAATTGACAATTTCTCCATCTCCTTTTGATTTTATGATTGATATAAAATTAAAAACACACCGTCTCTAATTATATATATATATATTATATAATCTCATCAAGCATTTACAAATTTAATTTTAGCGATTACAAACAGATCATGTGTATCCATTGTCAAACCATTCACCACGTTATAATTTCACTCACAATTCTTTTCATGAACCTTTTTATTTGAAGCGGGTACTAATATTTATATTTTTTCTTCAAGTAAGGTAACCAAATAATATTTATTTATACTCACTCAATGCAGATGTATTATGAATCTTTTTGGTCTACTTATATTGTATTTTCATTTGAATCAACTACTGAGGGGCTTAATCAAATGTTGCTAATTATTACTGTTAGATAATAATATTAGAGGGTTATGGTTATCATGTGATGATCTTGTGGTTGTTCTTGTCTCGGTCTTCAGGTGCTTCACGATTCTCAGTGACATTATTGTCTATAATTTGGTCTAACCTTGAAGGAGTTAAGCAACATTTTTTTTATTATTTTTTTGAACAGTCCCTAATCACTGCTCTATATTTACAAGAATATATATATATATACACACACACCAAAAGGCATGTAGTCCAATGACTTCAAGCTGGGATGTGGGGAAAAAGTGTATATTAAGTGTATTTATTGCCAATGTAAAATAAAAAATCCAAATTGAGATCTATTATGAATATTTTTGAATTTCTTATTTTGTGTTTCTATTTGCGACTCTTTCAAGTCCAACAAGTCTGTTCACAAGAGACTTTAATGTGAGAGTTACTGTTAATTCTTTTATTTTTATTTTTATTTTTTAAAAGAGAGTTACTACTTTTTATATGATAGTCACCGAACAAGGTTGTTTATACGAGAGTTATCTCCGTATCAAGAATTTTGTGGTCTAGTGATATTTTCTCTACTTTGTAAAATAAATTATAAATATTTGAATTTTAAAGAAAGTAAAGTGGGTGGGTAAGTGATATGAATTTCTTTTAAAATAATTTATACAAATCTCTCTTATAATTTGTCATAATTACTGGAACCTCTCTTGGGTTTGGAAATTTACTTGGATCTCCCTTGAGTTTAAAAATATCTTACACGGATCTCCCTTGTGTGTGACGAACCGTTAAATACACTAACGGACCCGTCAAAATTACTGAAATACCTTCTCATTAACATCCGAAATTACTAAACTACTTATGAGTTATTAATTAAGTATGACATCAGCTTGTCAGTTGTACACAGCATCTTCTCCATAAACACGTGTAGTAAACATATAGGTCACAGAATCCATCACCAACCTTCTTTCAAGTACTTACTTTCCCTCTCTAACACTTTCTCTCTCTAACTTACCCAAATCATCTCTCATATAAATTGCACCAATAATCGTCTTAGCTCGTCGTCGGTCAGTCACTTTCGCCGTGAACGGCAAACATGATCACCACCGCCGCCAAAATGACATCCCGTTGTTGGAGCTCCGCCACTTGAAAGTCATCTCCGTACTCAGTCGCGGAGTCAAAGGCGTGGTGTTCCTGGTCCAACCAGATCAACAACAGTCCAATACTGAATTTCTTGCTCTAAAGGCAATCTACAAAGCCTCGATTCAGAATATCAAGGTCGACATCAATGGAGATCTCAATGAGTATAGACGAATCTGCTTCGAACAAGAAGTCTTGAGAAGTTTTCGACATCCACTCCTTCCCAGACTTCGAGGAGTTAGTTCTCTCCATCGACGAGATCATCAGCTATGCCATCGATTACTATCCTGGACGCGATCTCAACTCTCTCAGAAAGAATCAAATCGAGAAAATGTTCTCTGACAATATTATCAGGTAAAATTTGTTGCCATGAATATATCAATCAAATGCTCTCCACATTTTGTTTAATTTTCATTCTCTAAATTTTCTCTCTCTTCAGGTTTTATGCTATGGAATTGGTACTGGCATTGGAGTATTTACACGGATTAGGGAATGTTTACAGAGATTTGAAGCCAAAAAACGTAGTGATTCAAGAGAACGGACATCTAATGCTCGTCGATTTCGATCTATCAACAAAACACCCACCAAAATCTCCCGAACCTAGCTCGTCGGCCAATTGTTAAATCAGTTGCGAAATTGGCGCCAATTAAGAAGAAGCGATTTCCGTCATTCCACAGCTGTTGCAACTCGAGCATTTTGCCGAAAGACTCGGCGCCTCCACTGGAGATCGGTGTCGACTCCGCGAGTTTCGAGTCGAACTCGGCTGCGAAGTTGAAATTGTTCGTCGGGACGGAGGACTACGTGGCACCGGAGATCATACTAGGGAAGGGCCACGACTTCGCCGTGAACTGTTGGTGCTTGGGCGTTATGCTGTACAAGATCTTGTACGGAATGACACCGTTCCGAGAGTTAAACAGGAAAGAGCCGTTCCACCGGATATTGAAGAAGTCGCCAGTTATATATATATATATATATATATATATATATATATATATATTATATAGACAAGGGTATTTTAGAAATTTTAGTAAAATTAGTAGATGAAGTCATCCATTTCCGTTGTTAATTGAAGTTGACTCTAACAGAAGGGAAGTTCGTGTGGGATATTTTCATACTTAGGAGATGTTCGAATAAATTTTCAAACCAGATGGGAAGTTCCTATAATTATGGCAAACCATAAGAACGTTTGTGTAAATTACCATTTCTTTTACACACACACGCTAGAGTTACCTCCTCATCCTCTTTTTTTTTTCCCAACAAAACACTGTCAACTAGTCTATACACATTCAGACTTTTTAATCATGACAAAATAACCAAATCCATGTGGTGGTGGTGGTGGTGGTGGCGGCAGGAGGACCACCAGCAGCCAAAGGCGGACACAGGGGTAGGCAAAGGTGGACTGTAGCCCACCCAAAAAATAAAAAAAAAATAAAAATTTACTATACTAATATATTAGCCCAGCCCAAAAAATAAATAAAAAAATTAATAGTATTAGCCCACCCCAAAAGGCAAAAACTCAATAAAGCCCAAGTCAACTCAGCCACCGTACTAAAATAAATCATTTCACGTTCGACTCCTTCAGATTTTAGGGCAAATCATTTTAGATTTTCAAGCTTTTCAGCCTCCCACCCAACAAATTGGAATTGCTTTCATCACTTCAGACTCTAAGTATAAAGCACAAGTGCACGATCAATTGATATTCAAGGTAAGTCATAATTCATTTTTTCAATTATTCAATATATATATATATATATATATATATATATATATATATATATTTTATTCCAAATTTTTTTTTAACAAAATTACTTAATATAGGGTTTGGTTGATATATTTTGATTTAGGTAAATTATTAAGTTTTGCAAACTTAATATAGGTCAACAAATTGAATTGAATCACACAATTTCTAATTGGATCTCCCTTTGCAGAAATTGCTGAAGGCCAACAAATTGGAATTGTTTTCATCACTTTAGACTCTAGGTATAAAGCACAAGTGCACAACAAATTGGATCAATTGATATTCAAGGTAAGTCATTTCTTCAATTATTCAATATATATATATATATATATATATATATATATATATATATAATTTTTATTCCAGATTTTTTCTTAACAAAATTACTGAATATAGGGTTTGGTTAATTGGTTGATATATTTTGATTTGGATAAATTACTTAAAAATTTAAAATTACTTATTTTGCAAACTAAAAAGTTTAAAATAGAATTAAACAATAGCGCTTATGTTAATTTGGAAAAAGCAGACAAGCAGTGATAGAATGTTAAAAAGTAGAAACTATACAAACAGTGATAGAATGTTAAAAAGTTGAAACTACAGTCTACAGCAGTCTTAGCATGGTATTGGTTGATATATTTTGATTTAGGTATTTTTTATCTAACTCATTCTTTAATTTTATTAGGTTAAATAATAATGGCTCAACATCAACCTCCAAATAGGAAAGTGAAAAGTATGTCTATTCTCTCATTCTATCAAAAGAGAGACCAAATGAGTGACGATGGTCAATCGAAAAAGGATATACCTAGTGGTAGTGCATCTAACGTTGACGATGATCAATCGAAAAATTATATACCTAGTGATCTTGATTTGTAACCTCCTACCCTACCTCAAGTTGTTAAACCCAATCAACTTCACTCCACTTCTATTGAAAGAGATCATGGGTTATATATTCAATTACATGAATACCTAGTAAATCAATTGGATGAGCTTAGACGAGCTTATATCAATTTGGGGCCTTATCAACCTAAACTTTCCCATGATCCTAACTCTTCAGATGGAAAGCAGAATCGACAATTTAAGTATGAATGGTTCAAGCAATTTCCTTAGTTAAAGTATTCTCCTTCAAAAGATAAAGTATATTGTTTTCCATGCTTTCTCTCTGAAAATATGGTGGCGAGTCGTTCTTCACTTGTAGTTGGTGGATTTAGCGGTTGGAAGAGAGTTAATGATGAAAAAAATTATGTATTCTTGAAACATATGGGACTTCAATCCTCACCACATACAAAATGTGCCATGCTTTATGGGAATTTCAAGAAATCGGCACAACATATTTGATAAATTGTTGAATGCCGAGGTTTTGAAGAATCGAATGCTGCTTAAAACAACTATTGAAATCATTCACTTGCTAGCATTGTAAGGAATTGGTTCTAGAGGCCATGATGAAAGTTCAAGTTCATTAAATCGAGGGAATTTTATTGAAGTGTTAAAGTGCAAAGCGGAAGGAAATGATGAACTTCCAAGTGTTATCTTAGACAATACTCCACAAAATGCCCAATACATTGCTCCATCAATTCAAAAAGAGATTCTTTATATTCTTGCAAACAGAGTGAGAAAAATGATTTGTGATGAAATTGCAGGAGGCAAACATTATATTCTTGTTGATGAAGCACAAGATAAATCTAATACAAAGCAACTGACTCTTGTTTTAAGATATGTCAAGGATGATGGCTTGTTAATGGAACGTTTTTTTTGCCATTGTGGGAGTTGAAAACACATCAGCAGTTACGCTTAAGGATGCAATATCTGTTATTTGGTCAGTTTAATCTTTCAATTCAAAATTTGAGAGGTCAAGGGTACGATGGTGCTAGTAATATACGCGGCGAATGGAATGGACTACAATCATTATTTCTTAAAGATTGCCCATTTGCTTATTATGCCCATTGCTTTGCTCATCGATTACAACTAGCATTAGTTGCAGCAGCAAAAGATGAGATGAATATTTGGCAATTTTTCTCTCACCTAACTTGTATTGTCAATCTTGTTGCTTCCACTCCTAAGCGTCTTGTTGAATTAAAATCTTTTCAAATGGATGAGATTGCACGTATGTTGAGCACAGGTGAACGTAAATCTGGTAAAGGGGTTAATCAGATTGGCACCTTGCATCGAGCTGGAGTTCCTCGTTGGAGCTCACATTACGATTTTGTGAAGGATTTGATTGATATATATACTACATCCTGCAGAGTTGTTGAAAGTCTTAGAAAGGGTGGACGAAGTCAACAGATACGTGGGCAAGCTTCAGGTATTTACAAGGTAATGAGAAACTTTGAATTCATATTTATTTTACACCTAATGAATAACATTATGGGATTCACTGACACACTTTGCCAGGCCTTGCAATGCAAATCTCAAGACATTCTAAATGTTTTGAAATTAGTCTCATCAACTAAAAATCTCCTTAAAAAATTCAGAGAAGATAATTGGGATATTTTCCTTGCCAATGTGGTGTCATTTTGCAATCGACATAACATTGATATACCTGATTTGAGTTCTCGTTATGTTAAGGGTACGGGTCTTCATGGCCAGCAACAAGATCATATTACAGTTGAGCACCATTATAACTTTGACATTTTCAACTCTGCAATAGATTTACAGTTAATGGAGTTAGAACATAGATTTAACAATGAAGTAGTGGAACTTCTTACTCTTAGCTCGGCTTTGGATCCTAGTCATTCTTTTAAATCTTTTAACGTGGAAGAGATATGCAATCTTGCTAAGAAATTCTATCCTTGGGAATTCACTGGTCAAGATGTTAAAACATTGAAGTTTCAGTTGATCCATTATCAACTTGATATATCTAGTGATCCTGAGTTTCAGAATATTTCTTCTCTTACTGATTTAAGTCGAGAACTAGTTGTAAGCAAGAAGTTTGACTACTACCCTTTGGTTGACAGATTGATTCGTCTTGTGTTGACTCTTCCTATTTCTATAGCAACTACGGAGAGAGTATTTTCAGGCATGAAACGTGTTAAAACAGCGATGCGTAGCAAGATTGGAGATGAATTTTTTGTTGACTACATGACCATCAATCTTGAACGAAAGCTTGTTTGGAAAATTGATTTAGAGTTTATTATTGACAAATTCGATTCTTTAAAGACTCGTCGAGCACAACTTAGATAAATATTTTGTAATCTTTGAATTTAAATATTTATCTATATTATGTTATAATTATTATTTATTTATTATTATTATTATTTTTGCTTAAGAAATTTTGTTATTAAATTTATGTTTAATATTAACCCACCCCAACAAGAAATTCTGGATCTGCCTTTGCCAACAGCGACGGCGTTTGCAACAACAGTGAGAGAATTGAGGCATCTATTGGTTCTAGGGATTAAAGAATAATGGGGGCTTTCTTAAATTTGGTCCAAGTTGATTAAAGGAGACAAAGTGAGCACTGGTTCACCTTATAGCCTTTTGGTTTGGGGTTTAAACCTTAAACCATATGCTAAGGTTGGAAACTAGTACACAGAAGGAAAAAATTACATTACACCCACCAGGTTTACTTTGAGGTATTTCAAAATACTTAATTTTTGCCAAAATTGTTCTTTTTATTTATTTGTTATTATTTTTTTTTGTCATATAGATTTTTGTTTTGAATTTCTAATTGTTGTCCAAAAAATATGTGGTATAACTATACCATAAACTATAGTATTATTTATTTAAATATTAACTAAAAATATAATGTGTATATATATATATATATATAATTATTTTTATAAAATAATAATCTATATATATATATAATTTTTTATAATATATAGTTTAATATAATAAAATAAAAATTATAAAATAAAGGAACCTGATTTAAAGTCGAGGCTAGAATTTAATTCTATGTCCTTAAGACAGATTCGTCCTGCTATGGTGCTAACGGACTCAGTGGTGTTTATCTCTTAGGATATAACGACTTGTCTTCCTTCGGTAGTAGCACTGCAAACCAAAGGAATAGGCGAACTGGCTCAGTGTAGCATTCTCTGACTCGAACCCAAAGACTAGGGCTCGAACCCACAGACTAAAGAGAGAAGGAAGAAAAAGAAAATTCAGAAGAAGAGAAGAATTTTTTGAATTTTGGTGTGATTTGGAATGAACCCAAGGAGGAGTATTTATAGACTATGAGGTCCCTCTTAAGGAGGGTGCAACCATGGGTCACAATGGTTTAGACCAGGTGCACCCTATGGAAAAAACTGAAAAACAGTTTTTTGGTTTTTTTAATTTAAATTCAAAATACCAAAAAACTGGTTTTTAGCCCACTTAATAAACCCATTTGAAGCCCAGCCAAATTAAACCGCAAGCCCAATTCGTCCATCTTTAATAAGCCTAATCAGTTTAAAAATTTAATACAGGCCTATTTTTGTTTAATAAAAAATTAAATAGAATTCACACCCAAGCCCCGCCCTGCCCCGCCTGAGTCAAGCGGCGCGCGCGTGGTAGTTGGTTCGAACCTAAGCTTGCCTAGGTCCTCCCCTTATTAAAAACTTGGGTGCCCTTGGGCTCAAACCCAAATCCCATACTTAGCTTATTTATACTTCAAATGGTTTTAATATTTTTCCGATGTGGAACAAGTATCTCACATATTGCAAACCCATTTAGCCTTATCAAACACGTTACTTTGGAGCTAATTTATCATTCACCCAGAAACGGATTTTAGAAAGTAAATATACCACGTTCATCTCTTTGCGAAAAGGAACGCACTCATCTATAGATTCGCAAACAATTCTTAGCGGAATCTGTTCCAAATCTCATCTAAAGTTTTTGTTTTTTATGCCCCCATTCCCAACAATCCCCCACATGAATGGAAATTTGCGTAAATTGCAAATAAAGAAGATACAGACACTAGAGAGAGTACTATTGGAAAGTAACTGTATCGGGATAGGTAACTTTTGGCTTTGAACCTTCCTTAGTGTATTATTATTAGATTTACTGGCTAGCCAGTGAACATGATGTATTAAACTGTTCAGTCGTTGATGTAAACCAAGATAATAGCAAACACATAGTTCCTTCCCGCACAAAGTCGGTTCTCATGGTTGTGTTCATAAGGCCCTGAACAACTCTTAGTAATTCATGAGTGCTCTAGAAATTTAGCCTTAGAAGTTCTCATAGAAGCGGCCCCACTTTACACTCATATAGGTGACTTCTTATTAAGAGTATTGTACTATAACCCACTTGAATTTTCAAGATATAAGAGTCATTAAAAGCATAGCTTATCTTACTCAACGTTTTTGGTTGCACTGTATCATTAGAGTAATGGGTAGAAGATTAAATCTTCCCAGTACTTCTGGTGAGCCATTTAGAATTTCTGTTGTCCCTTTGAACCAAGATCTTGGAATCTCCAGTCCACTAGATTGGGTTTCCTTAAAATGACTCGTTAACTTTTGACTTTAACCCCATTCCTCTCGATGAACTATACACTTGCTCTCTTATCAAACCTTTTGTAAACGGATTCGTTAAATTATTTTTTGATCTGATATAATCTATTGAGATTATCCCACTTGAGAGCAATTGTTTAACAGTATTGTGTTTTCGACGTATATGTCGAGACTTACCGTTGTGTATATTACTTTGTGCCCTTCCAATTGCTGATTGACTATTGCAATGTATACATATAGCGGGCACAGGTTTAAACCAATTTGGAATATCTTCTAAGAAATTACAAAGCCACTCAGCTTTTTCACCAGCTTTATCCAAACCAATAAATTCAGATTCCATAGTGGATCTGGCAATACAAGTCTGTTTTGAAGATTTCTAAGATATGGTACCTCCTCCAATAGTAAAGACATAGCCACTTATGGATTTAAAATCCTTCGTATCTGATATTCAATTAGCATCACTGTATCCTTCAAGTACTGTTGGATATCTAGAATAATGTAATCCATAACTTATGGTATATCTTAAATACCTTAAACCTTGATTATTAAAGTCCAATGGTTCTTTTCTGGATTACTTGTATAGCTACTCAATTTATTAACCGAGTATGCTATGTCTGGTCGTGTGCAATTCATCAAATATATTAAGCTTCTTATAATGCGAGAATACTCAAGTTGTGATATGCTACAACATTTATCACACTCATTAATTCTAAAACCATTTTGAGTGTTTTTCACATAAACACATTTATCACACTCATTTGTTCTAAAACCATTTGACAACATCACTTTGTCAAATTTTTCATGCCATTGTTTAAGTGCTTGTTTTAATCCATATAAGGATTTTACAAGTTTGCACACTTTCTTTTATTTTCCGGGAACTATAAAACCTTCAGGTTGTTCCATATAGATTTCCTCCTCTAATTCACCATTCAAAAATGCAGTCTTAACATCCATTTGATGTATTTCTAAATTTTGCAATGCTGCAATAGCAAGTAACAATCTAATGGATGCTATTCTTGTGACCGGCAAATATGTGTCAAAATAATCCAAGCCTTTATTTTGCCTGTATCCTTTAGCAACAAGCCCGGCTTTTTATTTATTAATTGAACCATCAAGCTTTATCTTCCTCTTGAAAATCCACTTATACCCTAAAGTTTTAGTACTAAGAGGAAGATCCACCAGCTCCCAAGTATGATTTTGCATGATGGATTCAATTTCACTATTTATGGCTTCTTTCCATAAAGCTTCAGGAAAAGACATAACTTCCTTATAACTTTGTGGCTCATTCTCCATATATATGTCAGAAAATCAGGATCAAATGACTTAGACGTTCTAACTCTTTTACTACGTCTAGGTTATTCCTTATTTTCATCATCTATAGACTTTTGGTCTATATTTTCTTGTATATTGTTATTAGCAATATCATGATTTCTTTTAAGAGGATTTTTACAAGGAAATATATCCTCAAAGAAACAAGCATTCCTTGACTCAATAATTATATTGATATGGATGTTAGGAATGTCTAATTTATGCACAAGGAAACGATATGTACTACTATTCTGTGCATAGCCTATGAAAATACCATCAAAGGTTTTTGGTCCTATCTTAACCTTCTTAAGAGTAGGAACCGCAAGCTTAGCTAAACACCCCCACACTTTTAAGAATTTATAGGAAGGTTTTTGACATTTCCATAATTCATAAGGTGTCACATTTGTTTTCTTTTGAGGTATTTTGTTGAGAACATAATTAGCAGAAAACAAAGCTTCCCCCCACAAATTCTGGGTTAAACCAGAACTTATTAACATAGCATTCATCATTTTTTTTAAGGTACGATTTTTGCGTTTAGCAACACCGTTCTGCTGAGGTGAATAAGAAGCGGTAGTTTGGTAAATAATACCATGTTCTGAGCAAATGTCAGCGAATGGTACTTCGTATTCACCACCTCTATCACTTCTAAATACCTTTATCTTTTTGCCAAGTTGATTCTCAACTTCATTCTTGTAATGTTTAAACATTTCCAAGGCTTCGTCTTTGCTTCTTAACAAGTATAAATAACAGTATCTTGTGCAATTATCAATAAAAGTAATGAAATACTTTTTCCCACCTCTTGTTGGAACAGATTTAAAGTCACAGATATCACTGTGAATTAATACTAGAGGTTCAGTATTTTCCTCTATAGAGTGAAATGAGGTTCTAGTCAGTTTTGCTTTTACACATGTTTGACATTTTTTTTTTATTTATTTAAATCAATCCTAAATTTAGGTATAGAATCCATGTTAATTAATTTACGAATCGTATCATAATATGTCCTAACCTACCATGCCACACATCAGATAACTCAATCATATTCATTACCTTATTGACCTAGTAGGAATAGAGGGAGGGGGTGGTCAATAACATAGGATTCTCCTTCTACGTAGTCCTAGTAGTGAATTCAAGGCTTTCAAAATCCATCTGATTCTAGTCAACCCCCCTGAGTCCCCTGTTCGTCGGCTTAATAGCTTTGGGCACAACAGTCATTTCATTGAACTTGAATAGTCCATTACTTAGATACCCTTTGCCTACATACACCTCATTCTTAGTCAGCACAAACTTGGGAGTGATCCAGAGACCAAGTTCTTCCTGATGTCTGGTACATGAAGCACATTATTCAGAGTGAGCTCTTTCCTCGAGGTCATTAATAGCTTTATTCTTTCCTTATCCTTCAACCTTTGCAATAGAAGAGTTCCCATGTAGAGTTGTTCATAATTATCT